CTTCTCCTCCTCCTTCCGCTCGTCCTCCTCCTCCTCTTCCACCTAGGTATCAAAATTTCTAAAACAATCCAATATATCGAGCTTTTTTTTTTTTTTTTTGGACCTTTTCTCGAATCGTGTGTCATCCTTGCGTCAGGGTAATGCTAATCATCTCTGTGTCATTTCCATTGCGCCGGATGTCCCGAAGGACCCTGTTTTTTTTGTTCGACCTTTTCTCGATTTGTGTTTGTCATCCTTGCGCAGGGGTCATGCTGATCTTCTCTCCTCCACTTGATTACAAGGCAGACAACATACCCCCTATTTCTGTCTGTTTTTATTCCTTTCTGTTATATTATTAATTATTTTTATAATCGTCCACTTGATTTGAAGGCACACTTCCGAAGACAGCGACTGCTGGCAATTGTTTTTTGAACTTTTTTTTTTTTTTTTTTTTTCCGTCCTGTTTCGCCAGCCGTGTTGAAAGGGGGCGGTGGTTGTGGAGGAGTCTACGGCGGGAGGGGGGAGGACACTGAGTCTGGTGTGGGTAAATTGGGGATGAAATGGGGACTATGGCTGATTTGGTGGTCCTACCCATTTTCGATGCGTGCAGGTCGCAATGGCGAGCCGCAAGTTCGCTGGCGACATGGTCAAGCGCCATTTCACTTCCGTTTCCACGGCGGGTAAGGATCCTTCGAAGGGGTCGTGCTGGTGGGTATGTAATTACTGCGACCTCAAATTGTCAGGGACTCTTCCCCGTCTGAAGGATCATTTCTTAAAGGGAGTGTGTTGTGTTGAGAAAAGCCAAAGACGTCTCACGGCGGAGGAGATAATGCGCCGGAAAGAGGGGCAGCGGCGAGGAAGGATAGATGCGGGCATGCCAACGGAGGGTTGCAGCACGCTGCCCGCCGTCTCCAATTTGGTTGCTGCATCCATGGGTGGGGTTGTTGCAGAGGGGGGGGGCTAAGGGGGCAGGGGGGGGGAAGGGCTCTTATACACATCTAGATGTGTATAAGAGACAGCCTCCTCCTCCTCCTCCCCTTCCTTGTCGCCCTCGTCGCCCTCCTCCTCCAGGTCCTCCTCCTCCCCTTCCTCGCCGCCCACCTCCTCCTCCTCCTCTCCGACCTAGGTATCAAAATTTCGAAAACAATCCAATATATCGAGCTTTTTTTTTTTTTTTTTTTGGACCTTTTCTCGAATCGTGTGTCATCCTTGCGTCAGGGTATTGCTAATCATCTCTGTGTCGTTTCCATTGTGCCGGATGTCCCGAAGGACCCTGTTTTTTTTGTTCCACCTTTTCTCGATTTGTGTTTGTCATCCTTGCGCAGGGGTCATGCTGATCTTCTCTCCTCCACTTGATTACAAGGCAGACAACATACCCCCTTTTTTTGTCCGTTTTTATTCCTTTCTGTTATATTATTAATTATTGTTATAATCGTCCACTTGATTTGAAGGCAGACTTCCAAAGACAGCGACTGCTGGCAATTGTTTTTTGAACCTTTTTCTTTTTTTTCGTGTTCGTCCTGTTTCGCCAGCCGTGTTGAAAGGGGGCGGTGGTTGTGGAGGAGTCTACGGCGGGAGGGGGGAGGACACTGAGTCT